AGATAGTCGGGATGTGACCCATGCTGGCAGGGCGAGGCGGCTGCCTGTCCGACGGCGCTCGCCGTCCCGAGGTGCCCGTGCGAGTGTGCACGCGTGTGCATGTGGGCACACACGTGTGGCTGCGTGTACATCCTGTGTGCATGCCGCGGCGGGAGGCAGGCTGGGCTCCCCCCTCCGTGGCCCACGCCGGACTTCTGGCCGTGGGCGCCGCCGGCAGAGACCCAGCCCGGAGCGAGGGAAGGCCCGGCCTGGGGCTGGCCCTGGTGCCGGGGCGCCTGCGTCGGCCCCGCCGGAATCACGTGCAATCCGCCCGCCTCTGTGCTGCAGGAGAGAAGGCCCCTGTCCGCCAGGAGGCCGCGGCTGCCTTTGCTGGAGGTGGGAGTCAGAGACCTGCATCCTGGGCTGCTTCGTCCCCGGGGGCCGTGGGCCCGGATGCTTTCACCCCTCGGCGTCACAGACGCGGGCGACGGGCTCACCACTGCCTGCCGCATCCGCAGAGTGGCTTTGCTGACTAAATATCTGTCACATGCCAGGCTCCCGCCAGCGTCGAGGGCACCGAGGAGCAGGGCGGTGGCTGCCCTGGGCTGGACAGTGCCAGGGGCTGAGCTCGACCTGGCGGGGCTCGACCACCACCGCTGTGGCCACTGCTGTGGTGAGAGCTTGTTCTCACCAGCTGTGCCCACCCTGGCTTGACGTGCTGCTCCCCGCGGACCAGGTGAGGGGCTCCTTCTGCCCGTGCCTCCCCGGGCCCGAGGGCAATGACCCGCCGTCTCTGTCTCTGGCGCTTCGGGCAGCTCCTTGGCTTGGCCCCGGGTCTGTGAGCTCTCAAGGCTCGCTGCCCGGCGTGCAGACGCCAGTTCCATGGCACGCTGGCCAGGCCAGCGGCAAGAAGACAGGAGGCCGGGCTCGGGTGTGCCTGCGACCTGGGGCTAAGGGTGGCCTGAAGGGCCGCAGGGGCGAGGAGTGAGGCCTGCCTGGCCAGGTCTGGTTCTTAGACGGGAATTAGACCCTGCGTGGTGGCTGTGGCCCAAGGTGAGCCCCCGGCACACACGTGTTCTGCCGTCTTGCTTAGTTGTGTCTGTCGAGAAGCTGCCGTTCAGCTCATCTGCGGAAAATGAACTATAGAAGGGAAGTTAGATAAGTTGAGACACAACAGGCTGTGTAGCCTAATGTTTTGGGGGCAGACTGAGCTTGGTTTTACCTCCCCAGATGCCTCCCTGGCGCTCTGAGCAACCACTGGGAGGAACAGTGTTGGCCCATGGCCCTGGGGACAGAGACCAGGATCGTGTTACGGGTCCCCTGAGGCCCTGCAGGGCTGGGGCCGGATCTTGGGGAGATGGCGTCTCTGGGAAAGACAGCCTGCCTTTGAGGGGACCCCACCCGATGACGGCATGCTGTCTCCGTGCCAGTTGAGACCACGTCAGGACTGGCCTGACGGCCTCCCCGAAGGCTGCCTGGAGTAAGCTGCCCAAGGAAAGAGCCGCGGGACTGGAGGGCTTTTCTGCTGCTTCTCTGGGGCCCCGGGGAGGGCGGCCTGCTGGGGTCAGGGCCATGCGCTCGCCGAGTCCCCTCTCTCCTCACCGCCCCCTCTCCCCAGCCACCATGTTGCAATTCCATGCTTCATAATCTTTTGAGCAAATTAACTTTGCATGCCCTTTTCATCAAGTACTTGCTGATGCATATTAAGAGCAACACATTTTTTTTTCCATTTAATCTTTCAAAGGCCACACACGTTGACGATTAACGTTTTGAAAGAATATTGCACTTTACAGAAAAATGTGTTTGTCAAAGGATTTGTTCGCAACAATATCTAATGAGGTGTTGGAATCCTGGTATTTTTCCAAAATAGTCTTAATATTTTTTTTTTTAAAGATTTATTTACTCATACAGAACTGGGGTACAAGCCAGAGATGCGGAGGGTGAGAGGATTCACCAGGCACAGAGCGGGGAGCAGAACAGGCAGATGGACGAAGTCCACTGCTGAGGGGAGCAGCGGGCGGGTCAGGAGAGGTCTGCTGCGCCCTGTGGTCACCTCCGGGGCAGGCAGGGATCGAACTCATGCGGAAGCGGCTTTAGATTCTCAGTGCTGTGCTTTAACCCGCTGCGCCACCTGTCTTAATATTTTTAACAGATTCTGTAAAGCTTTTTAGAAAATACAACTAGGGGGCCCGGCCCCTCTCCCGTATAGGAGAGGAGGGCTGTGCTTTCAGCCTGGATCGCGCGAGAGGTCTGAATTGTAGCCCACAGAATCAAAGGCAGAAATAGAGTAGTGCCTGTTACCCTTGAGGAGGGACCCCCGTTTAGCAGTGCCTGGTGCTCTCCGTCAGTGATGACTTTTCACCCCCAGCATCGCCTGGGCGTCCTGACCTTCTCCCGGGCAGGGACAGGCTCCCGAGGGGTGTCAGTCATGGGCCGAAGGGCGGTGGCTTCGGGCCCGCGGTGAAAGGGGACAAGGGACTCAGACTTTGCGGCGGGGGCAGGAATTTGGCCTGCAAGGAGACAGTGACCCTGACAATGAGGCAGTGGCTTTGGAGACGCCAGAAGGGGTCAGGTGGGAGGAGCTAAGGGCAGGTCTTTGTGTGGGGCAGTGAGAGCTCACGCTGTGGACTTCTTTCTTGTTTTTCAGGTAATGAGCCAAGAAGACCATGTCTGAAGTACAAGGAACGGTGGAGTTTTCTGTCGAGCTACATAAGTTTTACAATGTGGATCTCTTTCAGAGAGGGTGAGTGTGCGTGTGTGTGTCTGCACCCTTCCCTGCAGTGGTAATTTGGGATTAATGAGGACAGGATTTTCATTAGTTTTCCTGCCAGGTGGGGACTCCAAACGGTGCGTTTGAAACAAGCCACATAACGGTGAAGACCAGGAAATGCTAATTTCTCCCTCACCCCCACTTCTTGCTGCCTCCTCTGTCCTTATCTGTTCTCCTCCATTCAACAAGCCGGTTTAGAGGAGCAGGGACTCTGGAAGCGAGGCTTGCCTCCCTAGCGCTGATGAAAGGGGCTGGAGGCGTCTCCCCACGCCCACATGTCCTAAAGCCCGTGCCCAGATCTCTCTAAATGGTGAGTTTATCATGCCCTTCTCAAATACAGAATGAAAATAAAGATGCTTCCAGCTTTCCAGAAGAGGCTCAGGAATTTACACACAGGGTCTGAAGACAGGCTGAGCTGTGTCACTGTGAACAATAGACATGACACGTTGGAGAAACGTCTGAACACAGACTAGAGCTCCTGAGGTCTGTACCTCCAGTGGCTCCTGCTAGTTCCCTGTGTGACCCAAGCCACGTTCCAGACGCGCCCACTTAAGCAAACAAACAGGGTCTTTTGGGGGTGCGTTCGAGGCTTCACAAACGCCCCAGAGCACAGGGACCTGCGACAGCAGCTTTGACCTAGGGCGCCAGGGTGAGGCAGGCAGCTGGCGGGCTCAGCGGGCGGGTCTGCTGCACTGGGCCAGGCGGGGCCTCCGCTGGGCCTGAGGCTGACTCCGGACCTGGGCAGTCGGGCCGGGCGCTGCTGCCCTTCTCCCTGGGCTTTGGTCTTGAGCCAGCCAGCTCAGGCTGAGTCCTCAGAGCAAGAGTGGAGACCCACAAAACCTCTTGCTGTCTTGTCTTGGGATTTACAGCAAGTCTTTCCACTGCCTTCTGTGAACCAGGCTGGCTGTTTGAGGTCAGTGGGTTTGATTTGGGATCAAGACGGTTTGGGACGGTTTGATTTGGGATCAGGCGGTTGGAGCGGTGGTACCCAGCTTTAACATAGCAGGGTGGGGGTCTGGGGCTCAGGGTTGCTTGTTCAAAATCATGTATTTTCTTCTTAAAAAATAATATTTTTATCTATTTATACACGCAAGTATTGGGGTATAGGCCAGATGTAGGGGAGTGAGAGGATCCCCCAAAGACAGTGGGGAGCAGAACAGGCAGGTGGACTGTAACCCACCACTGAGGGGAGCAGGGGAGACAGGGGAGGTCTGCTGTGCCCTGGGGGTCCCTCCCTGGCGGGGGCTGAGCCCAGGCCGCAGCGGCTGCAGACAGCTTGGGAGCAGTGAGCCTTAGCCCCTGCGCCCCGCAGAGTGGCCCCTGTGTATTTTCTTTCTGTGAAACCGGTCTCAGCGACGCGCAGAGTTTCCACCAGGATGTGGGAAGCAAATACTAGAACTTTTATCTGAATGTTTTAGCATAAAATAAGGAAGAAATCAAGCGGCGTTAGTAGTTCGAGTCCAGACTGACCTCAGCAGACTTCCGGTGCGTGCGGGAGCTGTGAGTTCCACTGGGCACCCAGCCTCAGGACGGGGGGGCGTCACGTAGCTTACAGGGTTCTGACCCTCACACGCCAGGCACCGCTGGCCAGTGATGGCCGTGGACTCAGTGCTCCAGGTTTTAGTTACACCGGCCCTCATCAGACAGCGAGGGAGAAACTCGAAGGCGATCATGCATTGGAGGTGGGATTAGTAAGGAGAGCAGCAAACGCCAGGAGATGTGGGACCCCCGCCCCCCGCAAAGCCTCTTGGTAACACACCTGGTGGAATTAGCCACAAAGGCTAATACTGAGCCAGGCTGAACTGAAGCCAGGACACCATCCCTGTCGGTGAAGGGCGAATGGCGGATGCGTGGGGCAGGTGCACACGGAGGTCCCATTCTCTCTCCGCTCCTCTCGCTCAAGTGCAAACCACTGCGCGCCCTAACAGTGCTGGTCAAGGTGCGGTGAGGCTGCTGTTTGAAAGCCTCTCCCTGTCCATCCAGCGCGTATTGTGACTGAGCAGAATTGGACTCTGAGAGGTGTAAACGCACGGGGTCACCTGCACAGCGATGTGCTCATGGGTCAGTATGGAGATAGTTGATGCTGGAGGCCCTTTGTCCACCTAGCAGCACGCCGAGGCCCCTCAGAACTTCCCGACCCAGGCTGGCATCTCAGGTGTGGAGGATGTGGGCACGGGGGCCCCTGTGCTGGACGGGGCGTGCCCGGGCGCCTAACCACGCCGGAGGGCCGCTTTACTGCCATGTCTGGGCGTGGCTGGCACCGTAGGCATGGGGGCGGGGGAGTCTTAGGGCCTCTCTGGGCCTGTCTGCAAAGAGCCCCCGCCCTCTGGGCTCCTCCTGCCAGGAGCGGGCACAGGGGGGCACAGCACAGCGATGCCAGGCGGTCGTGATAACTGATGCGGAGGGCTGTTCTGCTCCGCGTCCCGGGGAGCCATCCTGGTGACACGGACCCTTCCTGGCAAGCTGCCCTGGCAGCCATGGCCGCTTCCCGAGCCCAGGGGAGGGGGCCAGTGAAGAGAGTGGATGACTAGTGTCCTCCAGGAGGGGGAGGGGGCTGGGCCGGGGGCTCAAGCTGCAGGCGTGAGGAGGGAGGTAAACGCCTGCCCCCAGGGTCCTGGCATGGAGCGGTCAGATCAGGAAGGGCCCAGGCCCTTCCTCGGCCTGGCCTCGCCCTGCCCCACCTGAGGTGCCCGTGATGCGACGCGTGTCTGCACCCACACCTCCGGCCACTGCTGCAGCCTGGCCAGACGCACACCGCCGGGCCTGTGAGATGCCATGCGGGACCTGCGTGGGGCAGACCTCGGGACAGTGTGCAGGAACTCGCTTCCAGCGCGGCTTATTTGTGGGTGTTTCTCCAGCCAGAGCGCGGGCTGCCTTTTGGCGATGTTTGCTTTGAGCAAACAGTCAACCTGCCTTGGTCCGGAGTCTGTGTTGACCGAGTCAGGTTCTCAAAGGGAACGCGCCACCTCGAGCGCCAGGCACCTGCCCTGCCACCCTCACCCTGGGCAGCCAGGATCCTCCGACAGAGGCCGGGAGGACAGGAGGGCTGAGCAGGGCAGGGGAGGGTTGGGGGGGCAGAGCAGGGAGTGGGGCGCAGGCGCAGGGGGGCAGGGCGGTCCTGGGAAGGGATAAAGCCTCTGTGAATGCAAAGCGCAAAGCCCCCGTAGACCACGGTGGATTCGCGACCTCTCCGAGAGCGGTGGGGACCAAGCCTGCCCCCCCGCGACCTGTCGGGGCCCGGTGGGGACCAAGCCTGCCCCCCGCGACCTGTCGGGGCCCGGTGGGGACCAAGCCTGCCCCCCGCGACCTGTTGGGGCCCAGTGGGGACCAAGCCTGCCTCCCGCGTCGGGGGTGCAGGGCTGGCGAAAATGAGCGCAGAGATGTGGGCGTCGCCATCGCACCTTCAGATCCCCCCAGATGGTCACTCCTGCTGCCTGATCTTGCCCCTCTGGGCCCTTAATGCTGCCTACCCCGCCCCGAGGGGCGAACCCCTTCCCCGCTACAAACCCCCTCCCCAGTCCCCCTCTGCGCTCTCCGGCTTGACCGCTGTTGTCCGTCTGGCCGGCCGCCCTGAACTCCCCTCCTGACGTCCCCCGGCCACGTCCCCTGTGCTGACACGGGGTAGCGGGGTCCCTAAGCTGCTCAGGCCCCGGCCCCAACACTTTACCAAACACTCCGGCTCTTTGCCCGCGCACAGCTGTAAGCATCTCGGGCTCAGGAAACGGGGTTTATTTAACCAACGGGATAAACAAGAGCTACTGAGGCCAAGAGTGGCCGTTACCCAGAGTCGTGTCCGGCGCTGCCCTGCTAGAGGCCCGTGAGGGCGTCTCCGCCACTGAGGCCGGCCAGCGCCTGTCCCGAACACAGGCCGCGTGCCCACAGGGCGTCTTCCTGCCCCGCGGCCGGGGCCCAGGCCGGGCTCAACTGTCACTGCAGGAGGCGCTCAGAGCTGCGGGACGGTCCAGCAGCGGTGGACGAGCGGCGCCGAGGCCGGCAGCCACAGCGGCCGGACGACCCCACAGACGGCCTCACCCACACAGCCGGGCCAGGCCGTGACTGCGCAAAACCAGGAACGCTCTGGTCGCTCGGCTCCTTGCGAAGGTCACTCTTCCTCTCCGAGGCTGGCCGCCGAGGGCCTCCCGCTTCGGAATCCACAGCGGCCTTCTGCGAGATCGGCGCGCCCGGGGCTGTATCCACTGGCCCCCAAAGTGCTGATGAACTCCAGCCGGCACAGCTCTCCCCCCACTTCTGCAGCCCCGTCTGTTTCCCCTCTTCAGAATCCTGCACTGGCTAACGCCGTCCCTGAGGCTCCCCGCCGTGGTCACCAGCCTCCCCGGCTGACCCTCACGCCCTCAGCCCGTGTCCGACCCCCCTGTGCGCGCCCTGAGACGCCGCTGCCTCTCCCACGGCGATTCCGCTCCCCCTCACCCGGCCGCCACCATGAACCCTGCCCCGCACTAGCCAGCCGAAGTCCAGGGGGAAGAGGGCCCTGCCCCGAGCGGGGACCAGCCAGCCGCGGAGGCAGACTCCACGCTGGAAATGGCCACAGGGGCTGTCTAACAGAGACAGGTTTGGGGTGCCGGGGCGTGAACTAGGGGTGCCAGCCAAGCCTCGGGCAGGAGGCAGCGAGAGAGCCTCCCCCACCTTCCTGCTTCCACCAACAAGGTCGGGAGTGTCCAGCCACAGGTCCCGCAGGTGGACACATCTGCACCAGGCGAGGGCAGCGGCCACTCCAGCCACTGCTGCTGCCTTTCATGACCTTGTCACCATGAGAAAGAGGCACCTGGACCCCACTTACCCTATGGGGATCACGACCTGGGTCCACAGCAAGAAACTGTTGAGTCCCTGCCAACACGCCCTGCACCCCAGGGGGGCTGTGCCTGCTCTCCGCCAGGTTCTGGACCCCAGGACAGAAGGGGCGATCGCTCTTCATTTAGAGTCTGTTCCTCACCTGCTTCGTTTCTGTGATGTCG